ATGTACTGTCATGTGTTTTCCCAATCATAAATAGTGTCAAAGTGCTATTGCAACTGCAGATACACATAAAAGCTGCCCTTTCTTGTTTTGCATTGTTAGGTAAGTTGTTCAAATGATTCTAGGTCTTATCTTCTAGAAATGAGCTATTAAGTCCCTTTGATTTTATATAAGGTGTAAGAATTGCTTGTTGGGATAAGAGGATAGCAAAAAGTGACAGAAAGGGATAAGATTTCCATTATGTCTGCTTTAGAAACACGGAAAAGATCTGTGTTGGAATAAAGCAATAGAAAAAAAAGGATAGCCCCTGATTTTGGATTAATAATTTCTCCAAGACCTGTTATACTTCATTAAGTTATTAAATGTTTTTGGAAATCATGCAGCTGATTCATCTGTTGCAAAATTCAGTTGACAATTAAAAACTCATACCTGGAATAGTGGTGATATATTTAGTTTTGACCAAATTAGGGTTGCTTTAAAACCAAAAATAAAAGCTCTTTATTTGGTGCACAAATATTTTGGAGTTCTGTCTAACTGCAATCGCTCATGATACCAATATTCTCCACACTCATCCAGTTAGAATAGGAACAACTGAAAGGGAATGTTTTTGTGATTGGAAACAGATGCACTCCTTTCTTAGCATCAATTTTTTTGAGAAAAAGGCAGTTCAATGCTTTTTGGGAGGTAGCTGTGTTTCTTGGAACAGGACTGGGAAGCAGTGCACTGTTTTCAATTGATTCAACATCCTTTTTTCTTTTAATTGGATGGTTTAATCCCTTGACATTTAAGGCTATAATACTTAGTTGTTGTGTTTTTGTTATTGAAGGTGGGGATCAGTTAATTAAGATATGACTAGACAAAAATACATTAAATACAAGATATAGAAGAAATTAGAGCCCAAATCCCAGAACTCCAGCATTGTTTCAAAGAAAGATGAGTCTCAGCAGACCTAATACAACATGGACAAGAACGAAAAAACCTAGTCACACGACAGTGGCACTGAACTGAAATATCAACATAAAATAGTTCCAGTTTTTGAGGAAAAATATGACATAGCACCACAAAACATCTTAGGAGTTTAGCTGATATATAGAATGATGCCACAACAGGCTCAGCATCTCCACTGCTATTTATTTACTAATACAAATTACCTATTTAGTACAACAAATACTGGTTTGATTTCTTGCCAGTAGGGTAACAATGGTTTGTTCATATCCTTGTGTTACTTTCCATTTTAGCTGTGTATATTTTGTGCACTTAATACAATTGTGAATCTCCTGGTAATTCATTCTCTCTCTCTCCCCCCCCCCTGTTTTTTTTCCTCAAACACAAAAAAAATGGTTAGAGAGAAAGAAAATAAGCAATCCACAAGAAAATTAACTTTTAAATATCTCTTCAACAAAACTATGAGCTGACAGAAAAATTACTTTGGACTTTAGTGGACTCTGGATGTAAAAAAGCTTAATCATTGTTAATGAAGTGAGAATGGGTGAAAAAAATCGATACATCATTCAAACGACCTTGAGCAAATTTTTATAATTGCTCCAGCCTGTTTTAATACATAGCCTCATCTCATCTTTCACACACTAGAATTTTCAGTACCTTAAGACATTTTAATATGAATTTAGTGTCCATGAAAGGGGCTGGATTGACAGCCTTAGAGATTAAAGTCCTTCATTATAAACATAACAGGTATAGTTTGGGTGAAAATGCCAGCTTTCCCATACTCCCTATCTACAAAGAAGTAAATATGGTCTCATGGGAACTTTCAGTGAAAGGATAGTTCAGACTCCGTGCCCAGGCAATCAGACTCTTTGCCAAGGATTTAATTACATGCCAATTCAATGCAGCCTTTTATAATAGGGACACTTGCCCACTAAGAGCTGGCTGAGATTAAACTCATTTGACACAGGCAACTGCAGTACCTTTAGTCACTATCAACCCAGGATAGATTAGAATTGACGACGTAGAGATGATAGTCATGCTAACATATTAGCCATCAAGCCATTTGAATATTCCAATAGCCACAGTAGTTCCAGCAGTATACATTATACACACTTCAAAACACACTTCCATTTCCTATTTTAAAGTAACCAACAATCCCATATCAGAAAATCACTTTGCTCCCTATTCCCTATTCCTATGCAAACTTTTTATCACTTCATAATGTACATGACACAGCAAATGACAGATTTTCCACTCTCTTTCTATCCAAATCAGGGCAAAAAATATTCAGATCATATGATTAAGGCACTTTTATGAATGTAATGAATTTAATAACACATTGAAGTCCTATTTATGCCACAAGTCCGTTTCCTGAGGGAAAAAAAACTTTTCCAACAATAGTCCTCGTGCAAGTGTACTTCACTGCTATAATTTCTAGCCAATAGCTTATAAATGAAAAGACTTAAAAGGAATTTTACAAATGAAGTCTCCTCCTACATATGTGTAGTAAACTACTTGCACATTTTTGAATGTCACTAGTATTTAATAACACATCTGGATGCATTTTCAGAGGGGGTGCCCTTACAAACTCCATAATCTTATACTAATACGTTAAATATATACACATTACTTAAGAGAGGAGTTTATAGTTTCTGAACACTAACATGACTGTAAACCATAGAAATGAATGAAATCATTGTTTTATCCATTTCCAGAATTGTGATCTTATGAGGTTGGAGGATATGAGAAGAAAAAAATAATTCCAAATTACTCTGGACTAGTTTTTTTTTTTAATACAGATATAATAAAAAATCATGTAGCTAGTGAAAGCTTTAACAACAGAGCAGCTCCTACAAAAGCAACAATAAGCTTCAGAATTAAAATTAATACATTAAGCAGAATTACAGTCACTTTGAGCTCATTTGCATGATCAGTAGAATGAGGAGTAAATGGAGAGATCCCAATTGTTTGAAAGAGGAAAAAAAGGAAAGGTCAATGTTCTGACCCACAATTTAGGAAATTATTCCATTTCTAAGGTAATCAGCCTGTCATCCAAATAATTCCCCACTCACTCATTACCGGAAACTATAATACAAGCAAGCCAAGTTGTCTGTCTAAAGTTGCTATGGCATTTAAATATACAACAATTTGGCCCATAACCTTCAGTAGTGAAGTTCCCAAGTCTTGAAGAGTGCAAGTTTTTCTCATAAAACACTTTTCCCAAGAACTCTGCTTGATCTCTCATTCTGAGAAACAGTGGATATTCATAATGGACAAACACTCCCCATTCCCAATCTTCTATATTCCAAAAATCTTATAGTACAACAGAAATAGGGTATCAAATTATCTTCACCACATCATATGAAAAATATCTGGTAATGAAAAAAAAATGTGTATTTCATTTATTCAGTTTCATAGAAGGTCAAAGTTTTCCAGTGTGGGAAAGTGAATCCCATACAGTATTCTCAGCAGTTTTAGGTCATTTAAGGACACATTTACCTTTGTTCCTTTCCATGCTGCATGTTAAGAACATCACAATTTCAAATGGATGCATTAAAGAAGGACAAGGGCACAAAGGTTAAACTGTGTGTAAACACGTCAAGTCTACATTCACCATCACAGACAAATAGAGATGATGTGCGCATTTATGGTTTTACCTACGGTGTCCAAATCATCATCATACTCAGTGAAATTTCAATCTCTCAATATTTCCGCATTAAACCAGTGCTCATTGTAATACTAGTAAGTGGGTATGGCAGAATTCAGTTTTCATTTTTTAAATAATTTTGATGAATACTATTGATGTTTATTTTTGATCTCTTTAAATATAGACAACGGAGCAAAGGTATAAGTTTTATGCTTTTTTCTATTCTCTCTTTTTTTCCTGTGTTTATCAATTTAAATGTTCACAGTTGCAGGAAATTATGGGGGGACAGTAAGACAAAAATTATTTAATGACAGCAGACATTCAGATTCAAAAAGTTCAAGTTTTATAACCATTAAAACACAAGCTATCAACAGCACATTGTCAAAATAAACAACGTGAATAGCCTTAGAATCAAATTCTAACAAGTTCTCAAGCAACATTTTTCTTACTTTGCCTCTCGGTAAATTTCTATCATCAATGTAATTTTCTTTTGTTGACTTGTGTGTGTACAGTGAAATCGATGTTTGTCAACATTTACTAATAAAAATAAAATCCTTCCAAGCCTAGTAACAAGAACAGCACAATATATAAGACTTTTGATGTGTTGTATTAGCTTTGAGATACAGTTGTTCTTTCCAAGAACATGCCGGCACCAACCTCATTTTCTGTACTGTGACATTTTTAAGAAAAAATAAACTAGATAAAATTTTTGCCACAGATATTTAAAGAATCCTAATTTAAGAATAATAACTGATTCAAAAACAAGTTAATGGGGTTTGTTATGGCAAGCAACAAAAGCATGTAGCATTACATAATTGTATCCCCTTTCTACATAAGGCTGAACAGGATTTAAATGATTATTTGAGGATATATACCTCTTCTTTTTAGTAGGAAAATACATTTAACTTTTTACCTGAGAAAAAATTAATCTCAAACCATGATAATGCCCCACAAGAACCTCAATATTTTTAGGAATTAGTTATGTGATCTTTGGTATGAACACAGTCTTTCTGTCCAATCCAGCTTGTATTTCACATTTCATTGTAATCTCTTTAGTCTGAGAAGTGAAAAATTACCTTTTTATGGATAATGTCTACACAACTCTCTCTCCTCCTCCCCCCTTTCAGGTACTATAAACTAGTCTATGGTGATGAGAGAGACAGCTATATTTTGTCACAGAGCAAATGATACCATTTACACAGTGGGCAGATGGCTGAGCCTGATACAAAATGAAATTAACAACAATGGACCACAGATGGAGATAAGAGAAAGGTCAGGAGTTAAAAGGTCATAGGAGCTTGGATCTTCATTGCTTCTTTACATGCAGGGACTTAAGGAAACAGCTGATGTGGTTGTACTTAATGTAAGTTTGGGGAGGATAGTCAGGTGTATGGAGAATCTAAACACTCACCCATGGTTGTTCAAAACTATAGGTACGTCTGCGGTCTTCCACATCTTCATCTTGCTTTGCTTGCTGAAATTCGTGCCTCAGACGCTGTATCCGATCATGATTGCTAGGAGTTGATCTGTTGCTAAAAGAAAAAAGGGGTACAGGATGAACACACTTTAGAATCATAATCTGTGAAATTTGGTTAGGAAAATGTCAGCTTCTTATGAACTGGCACTACTTTAGAGTAATGAAAGATTTTAAAAACAATTTGCAGGCATTAAATAAAATGTTCTTCAGTTTGTTATTAATACTGCTTACAGCTTTAAAAGAAATTTCAGACAGAATGAGAATAAGACTAGTAAGCCTATTTTAAAATTAGATTTCTAAACTCGTCAAAGCAAACTGTCACTTTTACAGTAAATGCTACCATAGAGATTATAAAAGATAAAATATATTCATTAGCATCCGACAAACATTTAGATAAAAATAGAAATGTACAGAAAAATTGCTAAAGTGACATCTAATATTTAATAAACATTGGAGATACTCATACATCACTTAATCTATTGTACTGATGTCAGATCTTTATTTCCATCATATCATTAATGATGTTTGGAAATCCTGTCTATACACAATTTGATTATTTTCCTCCAATCAATAAGAACCTGTCATCCCTCAGTTCTGTTTCTAACAAGTCTTTTAAACTGACATTCTGATATCATTAAAAGGCTAATGGAAATCTAAAATTAAATCCATTTGACAGTACAATATTGAAGAACACAACTAGACCATAGGCTCACAAGAAAACACTCAAGTTACAGGCTTGTTGACACCCTGTGACATTCCAGTGTTAGGTGGAAGATCGAATAATATTATAGTTTTTTTCACAGGCAGATTTGAACTATTTAAACCCATCAATTTTCTATAATGGCAGTAACAGGTAATCCCCTCTCCATAGTACATTTTAGGCTTGATTTATGTAAAACCATCATGAAATATGTACAGGAACTGCTAGTTTCATAAGGCAGATATTCATTAATCTCATTGTTATTTTCCCAGCTTCTCCAGTCTCTACCTTCCCCCTCCCTCCCACAACTTTTGGCATACTTCAAAGTTTGCGATATGGGAATTTTAGAATGCCTGACAAACAAATTTTTTATATTAAGGCTAACCAGAAGCAATTCTTTCTCCATTTTAATCTCTTATTCTGGGGCTCTTAAACTCTGCATTTATTGCCTTCTGTTCAAAGTGATGATGACAAATGTTCAGGTATTACATTGTTTCAAATGAGAAATCTAAAGAGAAACAGTGGAGAATAATTCCATAGACTTGTAGACGTAGACACTGTACACAGTAAAACCATAATGCATGCAAATCCCAGATCATCCCCTCCCTTAGGGAAAAATCTGAGGGGGAAGAAATTCTGAAATTTCATATATGGAGTTTTCGTAGCTCTATCACTCCTCACAGTACAGACTTAAAGACTACAGACAACTCCCCTCCCCCAATCCTGTTGGAGCTGTACTGCTGGGTTAATCTGCCGTGATAGCACACCGTACACTTTGACTTTTTTTAACTGGCACATTTCAAATCCAACAAGTACAAACAAAATTGGTATAGTTTACTGATTTTCAAAATGAGAGATAGTTACTGTAACAAAGAAGCAATCCTGTGGTAGAGTATTTAAAAGATTTAATGCAAAATACTTGCAGACCTGCTGATGTTTTTCATTTTGAGGCTTTAAGAAGTAAGAGTGTGTGTGTATGTGTGTGTGTACGCAATACCATTTAGGTGTGGTACAAAGAGATTAGCAAATAGCTCTATTTAGGCCACTTGATGTAGTTAAAATAATCAATGAATATGAGGGGCTCATCAGTCAGGAGATGTGGTTCATTTCAAACTCAGAAGAGATAACGGTGGAAAAGAGCCACTGAATAAACTGAATGGATTAGCCTGTTGGAGGCACAGCAGGAAAGAGGGTACAACAATAAAGAGCTGATTCTGTTTAATGGTAAGAAAACGTACTGCACTATGACAGCTTGTGCTAAAGTTTTGGGACAATAAGCCAAAACAGACTCACCAGATTAAATGGAATTGATGTATTCTGTTGGCCACAACATGCGTAAAGGTGTTATTATATAAAACATATAACAATAGTGCCATCAACAGTTGAACATTACTCAAAATAATCATTATAGATATTGTAAAATATAATGGTTAAGCCTCCTCCAGAATAGTATGCTCAGCAGGTTGGCCATCTTTTCACTGGAATGAGATGGAGCAAGAGAGGCTATGGAGGATCCCAGGATTTATGAGTAATGTCTCAAAAAACTCTAAAAAAAGGCTAAGTTTGTTCATAATTGCAAAAAAGAAAATGTCAAGCTCCACTGAAGCTCATCTGAAGAAGTGTGTTTTGCCCATGAAAATGCATGATACTATACACACACACACACACCCCCCCTAAATTCAAAATAAGGGATCTGCGCTATGCAAATTGTATATCTTATTTTGATTCTATTTTGAAATAACATGCTATTTCGAGACATCCCTTAACCCTCATGGAACAAGGGTTACAGCGATGCCGAAATAGCGTGCCTGTCATTTTAGAAAGTATTTTGAAATAACAGATGGCTTGTTAAGATGCAGGATACCTATTTCGGGATATCTCTGGTACCCCAAAATAACTGCACAGTGTAGACGTACCCTTAGAGACTAACAAATATATTGATAGTTGTAGATACGTTTGTCTCTAAAGGTACATCTAAACTACATCCCTTTTTCAATAAAGGGATGTAAATTGTAAATTAGATGAATCGAAATTGTAAATGAAACCAGGATTTGAATTTCCAAGGCTTCATTTACATAATTGCACTTTTCGGGAAAAAAACGTGGTCAAGATGGGGATCTTTTGACAGATCCTGTAATGGTTACAGGATCTTTCAAAATGGGGCATTTCTGTCAAAAGATCCCCATCTTGACAGCGTTTTTTTTTTTTTTTTTTGAAAAGCGGATTTTTGAAAAAAGTCCACGGCTGCCATTATGTAAATGAAGCATGGGAAATTCAAATCCTGGCTTCTTTTACAATTTCGATATGTCTAATTTACATCCCCTTATCGAAAAAGGGATGTAGTTTAGATGTACCCTAAGGGTAAAAATAGAAAAAATGTGGAAGATTTTTCTTGTGTAGCTGTCACACACATTAGTAATGTGAATACTTCCTTTAAGTCAGCTTTAAAAACAACTAGTAGTCCTGTAGCACCTTGGGGTATGTCTAGACTACACCCCTCTTTCGACAGAGGGATGTAAATTAGACACTTTGATTTCACTTTTGAAATAGTGCTTTTTCGAAAGAGCGCCGTGAAGTGAATATGCAAATGAAGCATAGGAAATTCAAATCCAGGCTTCATTTGCAATTTTGAAGTGTCTAATTTACATCCCTCTGTCGAAAGGGATGTAATGTGTGTGATAGAGCTACACAAGAAAAATCTTCCACATTTTTTCTAATTTACTTCCTAACTCAAAAATCAAGGCACAGAATCAGAAATTTTAAGAGGTTCTATCTTGCTGAAAAATAAAGAACAAATTCACTTGAGTCTTTCAGTACTACTTCCACTCAAATTTCTTGGAGGTGAAAGAGTTACAAAGATATAGAATAAGTGAACATATATTATTAGGAAGGATGTTAGGATAAAACAGAGAGGTTATCTTAAACTTTTAAGGGAGGACAGATTATTTAGGGAGTTTAAGGAGGAGCACATGCTGCCTCTCTCTTATTTCAATTAATTATTTTCATTCTCAGTCCTGAATTATGCCCCTTTCTTAAATCACTTCAGTGATCTTCATTCCCATCATATCAAGTTTAAATTTCCCATTCTTGTCTTCGAGGCCCTGTATAACTCCACCCAGGCCTGTTACCTGAGTTCTTGTTTCTTTTCACCCGGCCCCTCTCAATCTTAACTCCACCAGGATCTCCTTTGTTTCCTTTTCCCCTTTCCATCTTTTCATGCTTCTATGCATGGAATTACTAATATGCCAGGAGAACGTTCTATCCTCAACGAAAGCCCTCGTCAACATTCACTCATTTCTTCGATGAAGAGGTGAAAAGATAAGAAGGAAATTAGATAAGTGAAACAAAAATATAAACCACACATTCAAAACAACTGTTCTAAGGTTACTTCTCTCCTGGTCTTCCAGTGTGTGCTGTTAAATCTATAGCTGCCTTTTAGACCTCAAGCTCCTTGGAGCAAGGACTGTCTTTATGTTAGCACTTAATGAATAATAAATAACCTAGATATTTCTCAATCTATGACGATACCAGTTTTGACTTGGTAAGTATGTCACTTGGAAGCAAGATTTAGCCACAGAAAATACACTAGGGATGCATCTAGACTGGCAAGATTTTGCGCAAAAACTTGCCAGCTGTCTACACTGGCTGCTTGAATTTGCGCAAGAGCACTGATGTTCTAATGTAAGAATTCAGTGCTTCTTGCGTAAATACTTTGACGCTCCTGCTCAGGGATAAGCCCTCTTGTGCAAGAATACTTGCACAAAAGGGCCAGTGTAGACAGGCACCTTAATTTTTTGCACAAGAAAGCCCGATGGCTAACATGGCCATTGGAGCTTTCTTGCGCAAAAGAGCATATATACTGGGCACGGATGCTTTTGCACAAAAGCACTTTTTGCGCAAAAGCATCCGTGCCAATCTAGATGCTCTTTTGCAGAAATACTTTTAACGGAAAAACTTTTCCGTTAAAAGTATTTCCGCAAAATCATGCCAGAATAGACGCAGCCTAGGAGAAAGGCTTTGTTTCAGGCTGCTTAAAGCTCTCCTCTACTGGAGGGAACTTGTACCAAAAGTTGAGGATGGGTAATAGCCAGAGTGGCTTATTTATAAGCATCACAGTGCATTTTTATCAGTATTTTGAACTCACATGAACCCAAGATTTCAAAGCAAACTCAATCCAAACTGCCCAGAATTAACTATAGGAAGAAAGGAGTTTCAGTTGAAGCTTAGCCTGGGTTTATTTGAAATTCGGCTTACACGAAGCTGGACTATCAGCTTTGTACAGTAAACAAATTTTGCTTAGCCTCTTTTACAAACCTGTCACTTGGCTGCAATTTACTTCAAGAGAGGGTGCTCAG